GCTGAGCCTGACAGTGACATTTGCCTGCAGCTCTGGGCTGCCAGCCCCAAATCTGCTGCTGAAGGAGCCACGCACTGCTCTCAGCAGGCAATCTGGCACTTCACTCACTCGTGCCAGGATCTCAATCCAGCCTTGTGCTTGGAATCCTGAGAGACCCTTCGATAAATATTATTGATTAGTCACCGTTATGTTTTACTGTTGACATGCAGAGGGTTGTGGAAGCCTGTGGTTGGATTTCTGTGCAGTCCACTGGAAAATATGTTTTATTGTAGTGTTTATGTTGGCAGCTAGGTACATCTTCATTGCAGGCTCAGCTTAAAGCCTCAGGTTGTGTAAAAAACCCAAACCAAAGCTGAAGCTGACTCCCCCAACCTCAGATCAGACATACCCTCACCTTAATGCCATGCCCTGCCAAACTCCACAACCTGTTCTTTAGCTCCAGCCCCCTCGGGGCCACAATGCCTGATGTTTGGCAGTGCTTTGGCTGCTCTAACAGGCTGGAGGAACTGAGCCTGCTGTGTAAGATTTCTCACAGGTCATGTTGAGTCTCTCACCCCAGTACCAAGGCAAGAGATCTTCCCAGAGCATGGCCTGTCTGCCAGGCAGGGAGCAGTGTGCTGTGCAGGGGAAGGTGAATACACTGGTGCAAATGTGAGTTCCCTTCTTCCCCCTCTCCACTGAACATGCCCAACTGAACATATCCATGATATACTCTGATTTAAGCCAGGAAGCAATTAAAGCTCCTGTTCTTGCCAAATGATTGAGTGCTTGCAGACACAGATTCCTAACAAAGTATAATAGAGAAAGTGCATTAGCAGAGTATTTGTGCATTCATAGGAAATGAATATGGATGTAATTAACAGAAGCTGATTTATGTGGAACTGTAAAATCAGGGACATAAACCAAAAAATTCTCTGTAAATGTCAAGTCAGTGTTTTATGGTGTCCAAAGCAAGGCAAGGAGAGCATTGCAATGGTGCTAAGAAAGGGACTGAGGATGAAAGTGTCACTATGGAAATCCCTAGTACCTGAATGTTTGAGACATTGCACAGAGTTCTGGGCACAGGGGAGTCCCAGAGGTGGTTTGTGCAGTGCCTGCCTGTGTGCACCCCAGGGCCACATCCGAGGGCTCAGAGTCAGCAATACCTCAAACCAGATGGTTTAGTCTTGTTGAGTCCTTGCCGTGGTTTAACCCCAGCAGCAGCCAAGAACGACACAGCCTCTCACTCACTCCCCCACCAATGGGATGGGGGAGTGAATCAGAAGGATAAAAGCTACAAAAAGTAAGAAACCCACTGGAAAGCCAAATGGTTCTCCTGGTGTCTGTGGTGAGATGGGTGTGTGTTCCCAAAAGCCAGGGAAGGTCTGGATGTTCTTCGTGCTGCTCCTCTCATGGGATCCAGGAATTGGTTCCTTCCAGAGCTGCTCCCACAAGCAGGTGGGTGCAGGAGGCTGAAACTGCTTTCAGTCCTGAGCTATTCTTCTCTCAGGCATTATTGTGGTGTCTGCTTGTGTCCTGGTGCCAAGGACTTGATTTGCTTTCCTTACACCTCTTCTTTCTCGGTACCTCCCACTACCTTGAAGCACAGTGAGAACTATCAGCTGTTTATCTAAAAACTGACCAGTGCCCAGACACATCCCAAACCTCACATCCTGCAGCACAAAAACACTCCAGCTGGTATCGTGACCCTGACTGGTGTGTCAAAGCACCTTCCTCCAAACATGATCCCATCAATAAGTGAAGGACATTTACCAGGTAATTTTCATAATTAAAAGTAGCCATGCACATTCTGAAAGCTAAAGCCTCATTCACAGCAATTAGGTGATGAATAATGAATGCACTGGATTTCAGTTGTATATCCCTGTATAACAGTGAGGAAAACTTGTTGAGGCTCAATGCGCATTCTAGGGAATCTGCAGCATTATGTCCATTGAAATAAACATTTAAAACCTCACTGTTGGGTCATCAAAAACTGTGGACCTATTTTCAGCTTAAAATATTGATTTTTGCCATGAAAGCTCCAAACAAAACAAACAGATGGAACCTCTTCACTGGAGCCTCCGTGGCCCTTTAGCCCCAGAGACTTCTCTCTGTATGTATTACCAGATCTGATTACTCTGCACCAAATGAAATTAGAGGTAATTGTCTGAAAAAGTACAGGCAATTATCACGAAATGTACAGCTCAGTCACTGTGATCCAGTTTTGTGTAGATTCGAAACTCACAGCTACATTTTTCAGTACTCTAAAGCAAATTAAAAAGAAACATTTGCTCTGCACAGTCAGGAGGAAACCACCAGGTTCTCTACAACTGCACCAAAGGACACAGGAATAGCTCCAAAGGAGCTCACTAGGAAATAGCCTTTATTGAAAGTTTTATTTCAGTATTTTATCAGTGCAAGAAATGACTCTGAAATGTGAATTTATCATTTATCCACAGATTTCTAAGCTTTGTTCCTACCATTAACAACTGTATCTACTGTGCCAAGGGGATGCAGACACACACAGGAATGAATCCCTGTGTTTGCTCCTAAACTGCACCACTTGCTGTCAGTTCTGCAGAGTTGTTCTGTGTAGCTGCTTTAAGACACATTTATACATGTGCTGAGGAAAGAAACTAATTGATATCTATTTAAATCAATATCTGCAAACCACAGAACAAAGAGAAGATAAATTCCAGGGTTTTTCTGCCCTTGCTTGTCTTTATTTCAAAATCATCTTTAGCTTCTGCTGAGCAATGATTCATTTCCAAATGCAAGAGATCGTTCAGCTTTGTGTTCTTTATTAGATCCCATTGTTTTTACAAAAATAGAAAAGCATTAGCCTTTATGAGCTTTTGGGTTGACATAAGTTCCCTTATTTGGGGATACAATATATTCAGTGTGTTGGTTTGTTTAATTGTTGGTTGGTAGCAGGTCTGCTCACCACAGAGTTTATCAACCTCCTGCTATTAGGTACTGAAAACTACACCGATGACAGAAGATGTTTGTCTAAGGAAGGGAATTTGGGATGAACTCTCAGGTTGTAGCAAACAAGGTGAGGAGCCCCTTCAGGAAGGAAACTATTTCATTGCCTCCCAGCTTGGACTCTCCATAGACACGGTCCACAAAGGAAATGGGAACCTGTGGAAACAAGCAAAGGTTCAAACCCTAGATAAGCAGAGACTGTGCAAACCCCAGGCACAGCCAGCACAGTGACGCTGCAACAGAGAGGGAAGAAGAGTTTGCTTTGCTGTGGAGAAAAGCTCTACCCAAGTCAGTGGAGAAATGCCAGACATGGAGTTCAGAGAGAGAAGAGCAAGAGAATCCTCTGACAATTCACAGTCCTGACAGTGATGATGATGAACTAACTGGCTCTGAGGTTTCCATGCAGAGAGAATTCCAGGAAATGATCTGTAAAGGCACCAGCAAGAGCAACTCAGTGACATCCTAAAGGCAGCAAACTGCTGGAGATACACATCTAACAACGGCCTGGAGCTCTTTCATTGACCGTAGGCACATTCAGAGAGGTGAGAAGTGGAAAGTTGTGATAGAGAGGCTGGAAAATATCTAGACAATAAATGACAGAGCCCAGATGTGAAATAGCATCAGGCTGCTGGGGAAAATGGAATGATTTGAAAGGACCTGAGCAGACATGTCTGGACAATAGGAAGGAGGAAAGAAAAGGCTCAGAGCAGCTCCATGCTATGTTTTGACTTCCCTCCCTCCTTTAAAGAACCTTGTAAAATTGTATGCAGCTAAAGGAAAGGTATGAGGAAGAGGGAAGGATGTCAGAGGCATATCAGCCAGGGGGAAAAGTAACTGGAATTTCAGAGCTGGTATCCACCTGGAAAAGTTGGGAAAATAGAGTTCTGATAGGTAATTTCTTTATAGCATTCTTGGCTCTTCTTGGAAGCACAAGAACTCAGTAATCTGTACCTCCCCTTACACAAAATCCCAAGATAATTCCCAGACTTGTCCTGTACCTCTCCAATGGTGTATCCCAACTGTCTAGCTCGGACGATCATCTCCATCTGGAACACGTAGCCTTTGGACACACATTTTTCCATCAGTTTCTGTAAGACTTCTTTTCTGTACAACCTGGAAACAATTCCAGAGAAAAGCAAACCTGAAGCAACCAGGACAGTGAGTAGGAATCTGCACTGCAGCCACTCACTCATCTGACTGCGAGGACTGAAAACCTCTCACAGCCACAGAGCAGCAGTTCTTGCAATCCAGTCCACTGTCCCTTCCACCCTTCCCACCTGATTTCACAGCCCTCAGGACAGAAGGTCTGTCCTTACTCCTGTTCAGCACTTCCTGAATGTCCAGCAGACTTCAGGAAAGCAAACCAGGCCCATACCTGAAGCTCCCTGTCAGGTCTGATGCCCCTGGCCGCAGCAAAACCTGAGTTATGAAGTTGGCACCACGACTGGGAAAGGAAACAGCAATGTCAAAGTTGCTCAGGACACAATTCCCAAAGATCAAGCACAATCCCTAGAAAATAAGTAAATATCATCCAAAAAACCCCCACCAAACCCCAAAACTTTTATGGCCTAATATGAAAAATTTGTGCTTCCGGTGTGTTTTCACTGCTAGAACTGACTAGTAAACCATAGAATCTTGGAATCAGAACCCCAATGTTTTGTTTTTCAAAGGTAGATGATTTGTAGATTACTGAACTTCTCTACGAAGGAGAAAACAAGGTTGTTCAGAAATTAGGTTTACACCTGGATCTTTATGGGACAAGTGTCAGTGAAACAGCAAACTACTCAGTACAAAGAGAGGACCTTGACAGCTCGTTCCTTGGAGGATGGAACTGGAGGACTGTCCCAGCCTGATGCCATGCCAGTTTGTCCACTGTTCCCACCCACTTCCCAAGCCCAGGCACATCACTCCATTCTCTCCTGGTGGATCTGAACCAAAGAATTTGCCAATGGCCCATGTTTCATGGCCCACGTTCCAGAGCAAGTGTCTCCTGCATGGACAGCAGTTCAGCTCTCACCCATGGAGTGCCTGGAATTCTTCCTTACAAATCACAAATGCATGTGTAGGTAGGTGAAAGGTACTGACCTGATCAGTTTCCTCTTCAAATCCCAACCATAGACTCCTCCACTGCCTTTGTATCTCGTGCCAGAGACAATATCAAAATCGCCTTCTTGCTGCTTTCTACAAACAATTGGGTTTATCAGGAGGAACACTTCAAAGCACAAACTTCCAAGTAGGAGCAGTCACTCTTTTAGTACAAGATGTGTACTTTACAAACTTTGGAACGCATAAGCAGAGAAGAGTTAGGGTGGTCATAAGCATTGTTTACACGTGATAATTTTCTCTTATCAAGAGCTATTTCAGGAGTCTTATGATTACCTTTACCCACCATGGCAGAGAATTGCACAGACACTTCACATATAACCCACAAAGATCAACATGCATTTTGATCGACAGCACTTACCTGATAAACTCTGGGATGAACTTGGGCTGAAAAGGAAGGAAAAGAGATCAGAAAAGCCAAAGGGCTGAGGGTAGGACAGACCCAAGTAAAGCCAACTAGAACAGCCTAACTCCAGAGCGGGTGGAACAGACTCACGTGGTGGGAGAGGTCAGCATCCATAATGACAATGAAATTCCCAGTGGCATGTTTCATCCCGTGAATGTAGGCAGTGCCTGAGAACACACACAGCACAGACATCACTGCCCTCTCTGCCTTAACGTGCACAGATCTTCACTTCATTGTCTGAGATCCCAACCAGAAACCACTCACTAAACCTCTAAAGCATTTTCAGACTTTATACATTAGATCCACCAAAGTCTAGAGCAGGTTTGGGTTTGTGCTGGTCAGAGTGAACAAGGACTTACCCAGCCCCAGCTTCCTTGGTCTAGGTCTCAGAAGCTGCAGGGTACAGAAAAGACACACATGTTACTTGAAGAACATTTAAGTGACACCTTCAAAGTTGCTATTTTCAAGGGATAAAAGCATTTAAAAATATTTCATTTTCAGAAACCTACTTAATACATAAAATCAATGGAGCTGTTGAAATCCAGGGAACAAACCATCACACTAACCAGGCATTTGACCAGGTCACATTTAAAACCCAGACCCTTTCAGCCTTATTTAGTAGTTCTGCAGTCAAAAACAAACTTATAAGTACAATCTCAGTGACTAAAGTATTTCCTGGAATCCCACTCTGAAATCCATTATAAACCTGAACAATCTCCCCAGCACTGTTAATTAAGGAATGACAAACACTGGCAGCAAATGTTTCAGCAGGTTTCACCCAGTGACTTAGCACGCTGAGTATGGAATACAGATGTAAATATTTCCATGTGCAGATAAATCTAACTCAGAGAAGGTGCAGAATCCAGGGACTCTGTCCCAGCTCTCAAGGGCTTTCCAGCACAACAAAACTGAAACCACAATGACAGGACACACAACTCACTATTCTATCCGATCCATATATTTTCTCCAGCTGCTCAGCAATTTCCTGTGTCCCATCTGGGCTCCCATCGTCTATGATGATAATTTCAAAGTCGATTCCGCTGAAATGAGAAGTGTTTCTAAATAACAAATGGCAAACTCCAGTGTCACTCCCTGTCACTCTGAAGCTGCAGAGAACACAAGGTGACTGGCAGGCAGTGCTGCAGGAGACTGTGCAATCCAGGGCAGGTGGCAGGTGCAGCCACAGTTGCCTCACAGCGAGTTGCAGCAACACAAAACCTGGGATAACACCTCCCCTGGTGTTATCCCAGCACTCAGCTCTGGTCTTGTGACTGGGGAAGATGAAAACCTAGAACTGCCTTTGTGCCTTCACCTGAGTGTGCTCTCCCTGGCAGCTGGTGCAGAACGGGGCAGACATGTACCAGATCTCTCATTAGTTTTGTTTCCCTAATTACTCTCAGGAAATAGCTGTACTCTTCCTCTTCCTTAAGGCAACAGAGCTGGGGAAGGGGCTGGAGAGTGTCCTATGAGGAGAGGCTGAAGGAGCTGTGGGGGCTCAGCCTGGAGAACAGGAGGCTCAGGGGGATCTTCTGCTCTCTACAATTCCCTGGCAGGAGGTGCAGCCAGGTGGGCTCAGGCTCTGCTCCCAGGGGACAAGGGACAGGAGAGGAGGAAACAGCCTCAACTGGTGCCAGGGGAGGCTCAGTTTGGACATCAGGAGGACTTTCTCCACGGAAAGGGCTGTCAGGCATTGGAAGGAGCTGCTCAGGGAGGTGGTGGAGTCACCATCCCTGGAGTGCTCAGGGAATATCTGGTCGCGGCACTCGGTGCTCTGGGCTAGCTGACAAGGTGGTGATGGTCACAGCTTGGACTCGATCTCGGAGGTCTTTTCCGACCTCGGTGATGCTGTGACTCGTTCGGGACACCTGCCTGCGCACTGCTGCGGATC